TCTCTCCCGACCACCTTTCTCCCTTTGGCTTTGCTCGTTTATGACACCCCACAGATTTTGTCACTCTGCGGTTGCTGGCACGGACATAGAATTACCAAGCCAGAGTCTCCATTTCACCGAGAAAACAATGGAGCTTAAGCATGAGGAAGAGACTCCAGGATCTGCTTTTCCATTATTTCCAGCATGGTATCTTAGACGTTTTTCTGTAATTTAAAAAAAAGCTTTTTTTTTTTGTTTTATTCTCAATGGTTATTTGAGATGAAGTTGTCTAGTTCATGCAAATAATGTATAAAATTTGTTTCAGTTATTACAGAATGATAAAAAAAAAGCTACCTGAAAAGGGACTTTTTTTTTAAATGCTGCAGAATGGTTTATGTAGTCATTATGAAACAATGCTGTTGTTGATACCAGACATGTCTTCTTTAGCTGAGAATTAAAATAAATGACATTTTGGTATATACACTGAATGCTCCCTTACACACATCGCTGATTATTTGGCAATGTTACAACCCCAGCAAAGACAGACAACTGGAAGAAACAGCTCACATGTAGGGTCTTGTTTCTAGCCTTAATGGTTTGTACAGATGTATTACGGCATAAATGAATGTGGATATTTCCTTCTTTTTGTTCCCAACATCTACAAAAGAAAAAAAAATGCTGTTACAATGCTGAATATCTTGCTACATAGGCTGGTGTTGAGAGCATGAGACATCAGGATTTGTCACTGCTTTGAAGACTTGTGTGCGTCCCTTTAAATTGAGTTGTTTTGATTATAACCAATTAATGGGTTGAAATTAGCCGTGTGATGTCCAGTTAAAGGTATAGAGGATTTCTTTTATTTCCGGGTGGATCATCCAAATAAGTGGTCTTCCTAACTGTCAATCATTCTGGTGATATGTTTACGTAAGGTCGTGCTACCTGATTGTCCCCAGTTAACTATCTTTTTCTGCGCACCCGAACTTTCAGGCGCATATGTGTGGTGAGCTATGGTTTCAGCCAGTAATTAAAGCTCACTTTTTTCACCACGGTTCTCTGAAAATGGCAGATGGTTGTTAGAGAAAAAGTGTCTACGAAGTGTATGAGAAGAAAAGAAAGGCCTCAGAAGAGGCAAAGCATTATGGGATTTGCTTTCACAGCGGCCCGCTGTAGCCATTGGATACTTATGTGTTTTGTTGTAGGCAATGTAGTTTAAAATCAGACAATCATTTTTTTCACTTTCACAATGTTTGAATATCTGCCAAACTTCATCATAACCACAGAACAGGCTAAAATTGGGTTGCATCTGATTTAAGCCTGTTTTGTGGTCATAATATTTGAATAATTCTTTATTTCCTTTTCATAAGATCAATTTCTACCATTTAAACATTCTGGAAGTGCCAGTACAGTGGATACTGTTAGAAAAATGTGACTGAGACCAATGGGATGTGACAGTAGCAGCGGGGGTTGTCAAAGAGAGGCGTGTGGTTGGAGGAGTTAAAGTAGAAGTTTAGAGTCAAACCCGCTCCTTTCATGTGGTGGAACTCGGCCCACTTGAGAGGTTGGTGTTAAGTTACATGATTGGACCCAACTTGGAAAAGGCGATGATGGGTCCCACTGTCAAGATGACCATGATGAGTGTAGCCACGCTGGTTCCAGAATCCACAGCACATGCAAGCTCTTTTTTTCAGTGCAAACCTCCTCACACACTCCCATCACTACATTGTAGGTTACTGCCTCTTACGCTTCCATAGTTCATGTACATCAAAACTTTTACATCCATGAAAAAATACTGAATGTAAATAGTGAAGTTGAAATATTTTTAAGGTTGAGCTAAGGATTTTCTCAGCATTTAAATCAGAGATGGAGAGCAGTTTGGTCTAACTTAACATTGCTCTGCTGCTAACACGACTTATCAACACTGGTTTCATCTATCAAAACATCTCTCGCCAAGTGTATAGAAACATTTGGGCTTTAAAAATACTTCAGGATTAAAAGTCTTTTTTTAAAGGAATATATCCAACAAATTTGTTCTTAAAACTTGGTGCACAGTGACGCAGTAGTTAGCACTGCTGACTTGCAACAAGAAGGTTCCAGATTTGATTCCCAGGAGGGTTTTCTCCGGGTCCACCAGCTTCCTCCCACAGTCCAAAAACATAACTGTTAGGTTAATTGGCTTATCTAAATTGTCCTTAGGTGTGAGTTTGTGTGCGCATGATTCTGTGTCTCTGTTTTGTCCTGCGACGGATTGGTGACCTGTCCAGGGTGTGCCCAGGGTCTTGCCAATAGACTACTGGACATAGGCAACAGCCCTACCACTACCCAGGCATGGATAGGCGTGATGGAAAATGGATGGAATGGATTCTTTAAACCTTTTGACTATGTAATAAAGGCAAACCTTTTTCAAAATCATGAAAAAAGTGGTATTTCTTTTGATTCTTGTATGTCTGAGTTGGTAAAATATTTAAAATCAAATAATATTTCATAAGGAAATAACATTATTTTTTACTTTGACATTTCAGTGATAAATCTAGAGAGTTTGTTAAGGACAGCTTTATGCTCGGTGCAGCATAAAATAAGGATGAATTTGGAGAAGCACTTCAGGTCACAGTTAAGTATGGTGGCCTTGTTTCCATGAGCCGATGTTACAGCACACAGTAACAGCAGTCATTCCAAATATGTCTTTAAGGAAGATAATGATGATAAGCATATGGCCGATTCAGAGAGAAGCTGCAGTAACAGACAAAAATACAGAACAATTTGGCATAAGTTCTGTTGCACCTTTTCCATGGACCTGAGTCTGTTTCTGAGGATAGTGTAGCACCATCTAACATAGCTGAAATATCTGATCTAAAATCTTACAAACAATGCAGACGCTCTGCCAACACACAAACCTCATCATTACTTCCAATCTCACTAACATTTACGAGACATATACCAACAGTACCTGATTGGTTTAGAGTTGTGCTTATTTTCTTTTCAGAAAGCAGCCCTGTTTACAATGAAGCTCTGTCAGACCTCTGAAATGCACAAAAAACCTTGTTCTATTCGATTTTAGTGTAAACTTCCCTCTAATAAGTTCTTTCCTCCTCTGTGAGCTAGATAATCCTATTTCAGAAACCTTAACGCTTGCTGTTAGCCTGTTAAACTCAATATGTCCACTCCAAGTACTCGGACTGGTAAGAATTAAAGAAGATGCATGACTGGAGCCCAGAAATTACTATCCTCAAGAAATCAAAAGTCTCCAACAATATAACCGTTTGCAAAATCCAACCTGACCCACAAACCCCTGGATTCATCTTATTTAGTACATATGCCTTTACACTTAGACAGGAATATATTCAGAGATCAACCTACACAACAATCAGATGATCAAAAGTCTAAGAAATGAAACAGAACTCAGAACTACTTGCCAATGTGTTGTTTTGCAGTGTGCAAAATATCCATGTGTGAGTGCATTGTAAAGGGTGAAGCCAGCAGCTTGTATAACCACAGATGCAGGAGGGAAAACGCACGGCTAGACTCTGTTATCGTTGCTACACACAAGTGGTAGAAATAAAAAGCAACATATGAAAATCAGAGAGAGGCACCAAGCCCTGTGGTTTCCAGGGTTAAACAGTAGAATATGTTTGCACTTTAAAAGCCACCAGATCCATAACTTAGTAGAGCCTCAGGTCTGTTTGAATAATTTACCACAGGTTAGATAAGCAAAAAAACTTAATTTACCCGATCCCTTCCATTAAAATTATAAAATACTTGATTATTAATGCAATATTTCTTTATAAATTATTCTTAATTTTTACTTTATTTTTTAAATCCATGTTTTTACTTCTTGTGGCCACATTATAAAGTGTTTTGCATCTTTTAGCAGGGGTTTGTTGAATCATGTGACAGTGATCATGATGAAACTAAGGATTGTGGGAGTTTAACTAAAAAAGAGTGCCAATGTCAGCATTGTGCTTCATCTTTCATGGTGTCCAAAGGGTCGCATAGAGACAAAATTTTTACTGGACATCACTATTGGTACATATTTGTGTTCTTATCCTTCCACTTAAAGTTAAACACACAGTGATGCAGCTCTGATTCACACAACTGCATAAAGGAAACAATTAGATTGATATATCGAGCATTTTATTGTCTGCTTATCCAAATATTCTTGATCCAGAAAGTCTACAAGTCTGACAATTCACACATCAGCATGAGCAAAAACCACACAGTTAATAAAGTCAAACGTACATGCACTGAACATATTTCATAAGAGAACCACATGGAAACTCCACACAATGCCTCAGCGACATAATGCATGGCTAGGATCTATCCGTGCAACCACATGAATTTCAGCAGCAGCATAAATGATGGTGAGGTAAAAGAATTAGGTGCTTTGTGGAGCTGGGAAAATTTGGATAAAGGCTATGCTTGAGTGTATGAGGATGAAACTTGAACGCGAGAGAGTATGCTTATTTCTAAAGTCACTTAAACACCAAAGTGGACCATGGATAGAAGTGATTTTCACAGTTCTTTAGAAAAAGGAAGACTTATTGCAGTGCCCCTGTGGGAGGATCAGCATGGGTGGGCTAACAGGCACACATGCAGTGTTGGATTAGAAAGCGGTACACCACGTCTTTTTACGACTAAGACATCTCTACATGGCCCTGCCTGTTTGATGGGACCTTTGGCGGTCCTCCCCCTCAATCATTCTGCTCCCTCTCTGCTCCTTCCATCAAGTTCTTTTGTGCCATTTGAAACAGCGTCACACCCGTCCACCAGTTTTCTTCCCCCTTAAACCTCAGTTTCTTTTTAAAACTGGGCTCCACTGGTCCTTTGTCAGTTAAAAAACTTCAGATGAATACATTCAGAGCTACATTTGATTTTTACTTCATTGAATTCTCTTTAAACGGTAGACAGAAAAAAGGTATTGCACACAACTCACGTGTCCCCCCAAAAAAAAAACAAAAAAAAAAAACCTTACCCCTGTTGTTATACTATACTAATAGTACTGTGTGATGTTTTCAGGTTTGTAGTACCTGACAGTGAAAGATGTACTCTGGTGTAGCCTTCTTGAACTTGATGTTCCACACCAGGGCGACACCATCTGGTTCATGGGGTGCATCTTCATTGTTATTGTAGGATGCAACCAGTAATTCAGGATACTGTGGATACAAATGAAACAAAACCGTGAGGGTTACATCCTTTTTTAAACTGTAGTCATGTTTCTGACAACACATTGTCATGTTTTTTAACAATACATGTTGCTCTTGACATTCTACCGATCTGAATAGTGCATGTATACTCGGATCAATGGTGTAGAATTCACACTGCTGCATCATGGCAGGGTAAGTCACTTTTACATTGCATCAACATCTGTTTTAATTATTTGTTGTTTTTTAATACTAAAGGATCAACTGAGCAACTTGGTTTGGAATTTTAATGCTGCATAAGTGTTCCCAAATGGTTAAATAGTTGTTAGGTGGTACTGAGGGGTGTTGCTGTAGTCCCACGTCCAGGCAGGAAAAAACTAGAAGCTGGGAGAATTTCTGGGAAGGTGCCAGTTTCCATGGGACGTCAGAATGCTTGCTTGTCCCAAATGTGTTAAGCATTGGCCTGGATTATGGGTGAAAATTTTTAAAGAGTGGGGGGGTTATACTAAATTTTTATTAGGGTAAATGCCTCAGAAAGTGGGGGCCGTGTCCCCAAGGGGGGGCCATTGTGATATCAGGTAGGTGTCGTAGAAATCAACTGAATAAATGACCCATTTTGGGACCTTATTTTTTCAAATTTACTTATATTATTAATATATAATACAGGTAAATGTAAAACAGTCACATTTTAATTCATTTGTGATCTGAAGGAGATTGTGGTTTAATTTGTTGTATCTTATTTACTGGGGTTGACTTTCCTTCATTTAACTAAAAGGCTTTTTAGGGCTTAGAGGAGCCAGTCCTGGTGCGAAGCGTGGGCATGTGCGGGCCTTGTCCAGAGAGACACCTGTGCCCATCCTGGACAGGAAAGTGCTGCTGCCATCAACGCCTTTGTTTATAGATCTTCGAGCTCTGCCTGTTTTTTAGTGTAGTCATGTTTCCCTGACTGTGACTGGCTGGATGTGCTCTCTTATTCCTCAGACATGGGAGCTTGCTCTGAGCTCGTCTGCCTGGCTGTGTGTTTCCTAGACGAGGCCGCCTGTGGAGCTGGTTTACAGTTGCCTTTTGTATCTCAGCTTCTTTCTGTACGTCTGCTTCTGTCTCCTTGAACCCCAGTCGGTTTCGGCAGATGGCCGCTTACACTGAGCCTGGTACTGCTGGAAGTTTCTTCCTGTTTAAAGGGAGTTTTTCCTCTCCACTATCGCTACAAGCATGCTTAGTGTGGGGGATGGCCTTCGAGTCACTGAGTCGATGGAATCAACTGGTTTTCCTTAGATAGAACATTTAGAATCAAGAAATAGCTCTGAATACACAATAATAAAATAGAAAAAAATGACTAGCATCTTTAGAGTAGACTGAAAAAGTAACACAAGAACAGATGTTCCAAGGATTGTAGCATGTAGTATTTAAACAAAATGCAGCTTGTGCTGAAATGGCCTGGAGATGTGGTGGATTTCTAGGAGGGACGTTTAGTTACTGCCACAATGATGATCGACAATGATACACAGGATGACCGCCTCTGCATCTTTGGGAAAGAAACTTTCCTGAGTCTATATGTCTCTGATCAGAGGTGGGTAGAGTTTCAAAAAATTTTACTTAAAGGTATAGTGGAGGATTTTCGCTATTCATTTAAGAAAAAAAATGCACATGCACAACCCTGTACCCACCCCCAAGAGGGAATGTCTGTTAAACTTGTGCGAGAGTATGCATGGTCCCATTTTTCCTGCTGCATGCCCTGTTTAAAATTTGCTGTTTGCATGTCATACAAGCTTACTTCCCAAAAGAAGATTTGCAATTTTTCTACTATGTCAGACTCACCACCAGTAGGTGAAAATGGGGACGAGCACATAGGACGGCCTTATGTAAACATATCACCAGAATGATTGACAATTAGGAGGACCACTTATTTTGATGATCCACCCAGAAAAAGAACATCCTCCACTATTCCTTTAAGTATGAGTAGCACTACTTCATCACATTTTTACTCAAGTGAAATCAAAAAGTATTTGGTTGAAATTCTACTCAAGTATTGAGTATCTTATCTACTGACTACCTATGAAAATAAAAACTGATTTAATATTTTAGAACATAATGTAAAANACCTATGAAAATAAAAACTGATTTAATATTTTAGAACATAATGTAAAATCAAACTAAATATTAAGCGATATTTTAAAAAATAAGATAAAAATAAACAAATAACACAATAATTGCATAATAAAAAAGGTGGAGTGAACACTTTTTAAAATACATTTTTTGAATTTATAAAATTTATAAAATCAATAGTTATAGCATGTAAGAATAGGTAAAATTACAGTATAGATGTAGATGGGATTTTAACAAAAACCAGAGCAAATTTTAGGCCTCACCTGAGGGGACCAGTCGAGACACGTAATAACACGATGTTTTGACCAGTGCTCATCATAAAAGAGTCTGCTCAGGTATAAACTGGAGCCGCTTCCCAAGTCCCTAAAAGCAAATAAGATGATGTAAGATGTTGTTGGAATCCCAACTAAGTCCAGTTTTAGGACCTAGTCCAAAAATAAATTCAAAAGCATGTACCTGCTGATGGGTGAAGATGTGGATGTGAATAAAACAATACAACCTCAGCCTAAATATTGTAATTTGCTTATTTATATATTTTTTTTTTAAAAGATTACCCGCTGATGGTGGTGAGCTATATTGTAGCCACACCCGACGGGGGGCAGGCTGGCAGAAGCAAGGCTGCCTTCAACGCCACCAGACCCTCTGATCCTCTAACCCATCTTTCCATTTTTAGTTTATTTATTCAACCATGCTCTGTGATCTGTTCAAAGCTTGATGCTGCCCTCTGCATCTTTATTCCTGATCTTTTTGGTAATCTTTCTAATGATTTCTCACTCTGATGTGAGAACTTTAAAGAGAGGCTGTAGTTATACCAAGATATAATTTTTAAAGGCTGAAATCTTAAAAAAAAAAAAAAATGGAGGAGCTCTAAAGCCAGTGATATAAGTGTTATTTTGGGGTATCAGAGTACAGGGGGATAAATAGTTATAGTACAGACACAAAACCTTTGTCCTCCACTTTCATCTTGACAACGAACCTTTATTAACCTGTCTCATATAATCCCAACTGCACTTAAAATACTATTATTTTTAGGTTGATAAGAAAAAAAACTACATTATCTTATTTTTTACTAAAAATTATCTAATTTATCTTATTTCAAAGACAGAAATACACCTTCCTATTATATACTAAAATAACAAAAATTAAGGGCAAACAAACTTATTTGAAGGCATTTTTTATTTACCTATGTTCAGATCAGTTTTACAGTGAATAGATGATTTTCCCTTAGATATTAATAACAAACATCTGCTGACACAAAAAGTGAAGTCTGATTATTACTTTCTACCTCCTTCCATAGGATCCAAACAGCTTTACAGCTTCTATAGAGCTGAAAGAAAACTGCATGCCTTGCGTTTCCCCTCACAGAGTCTGTAATTTAAGCCAGCGATGAGCATATTCCTTAGGGTCAAACTACATGTTGTTCTGTTATGTCACTGGCCACAGCAGTAAGCTGTATGACAAGAGCTTATTTTAAACTATCCATGTCAACAAAGAGAAGACAAAGTGAGCGGACTACACACAGTCTTCTTTTGGAGTGCTAATTAAACTATATGTGCACCATTCCTACCGTGCTGGGTGAGACTGTATATAATGAAACAAGGCACTGGAATGTGGGTTATGTACTTAAGCTCTTAAAAGTACATTGTTGGGGAGGAAAAAAAAAAAAAATACTAGGTCCGATCTTGAGCAATGGGCTACGGCCTGTTTTAGACATAATCTTTATTTGACCACAGGCTTCATACTTCGCTGTGGCTGCGGTGGTCAAAGTTGAAGTAAATCAGTAAAAGCAGCTCTTCCATAATAGCAGAGCAGTAACCGAAAACAGCTTTGCACTTCTGGCTAGAACAACTTCAACCAACGCTTTGATAACCTCTATTTTGAAAGCAGTCGCTCAGATGGCAAGAGAGCGCTGTGTAAGAAGCGATGGATGTCACTTCACAGGAATCTTTAACCATCTAAGAGCATGACCTCACTATGAGACAAGCTTCCTAAAGAACAAAGCAGCTCCTGGCACCAAGAGGGACACGGTGGGTTTGATTCACTTTTATCACATTTGTGATTTGAAAATAAGCCAATAGATGCTACAAGCAGATTAAACCAATTTTCGAGTTATATCTGGATCACATCCACATCTTTAAAATATATGCAGTTTTTTTTAAATACAATGGGGGTTTAAACTTTATTTGAACTTTTTGCAGAGTGCACGATAAAGTGCCGGAGATTCTCACCCTTCTTTGTCTTCCAGGTCACGGCCGCTGTAGTCAAAGAAAATGTCACCGTCCTCTGCGAGCGCTCTCTCCATCACCCGAATGCTACAGTCGAAAAAGCTTTGAAACTCAGAGGAGTGCAGGATCTGTTGTCGCTCCTCTTCCGTCAGCTCTCGCAGGAAAGGAAAACAACCTTTAATAAAATCAAGATAAACAGTGATTACAGGAAAGAAAATGAATCCATTCACTATCTTTCACCAAAAACCTCCACACATTATATCTGAGTCAGAAACCATCTGTTGTATAATGCTTCCTTAAATTTTACACGAGATGTGGGATGTTGTGTTCTTCTTGTTTTCTATTGTTAAAGTCCTCCAACTGAAGCACCTTCAGCTTTATTCATTTTGATTTGAAACATCCTCAACACTAAAACACAGAATATATCCCTTCTATGAAATACAGCAGGTTCATTTGTGTGACGTTAAGTTGGCTTTAAAAAAAATAAATAACTGCAAGTGCTACTAATTTGATGACTTTAAAAGGGGAACGTTTAATTCTCAGTGTTTTCATTCATTTTCAAGAAATTTTAATGAGTGTGTTTCAAATACTTGCAGTTTGCTGTATAATGGTCAAGTTTTACCTTATTTTGAAGAATAGATGGTAAATGATAAATGGCATGTACTTATATAGCGCCTTTATTCAACTTAGGAGACTTGACCAAAGCGCTTTAGAACTACATTCATTCACCCAGTCATGCACACACTCACACACTGATAGTGGCAAGCTACATTGTAGCCACAGCTGCCCTGGGGCTCACTGACAGAAGCTGGGCTGCCGTACACTGGCGCCACCGGGCCCTCTGACCACCATCAGTAGACAATGCAGGTGAAGTGTCTTGCCCAAGGACACAACAACACTGAAAGTCGCAGTCGGGGCTTGAACCATCAACCCTTCGATTTCAGGGCAAACTCCTACATCCAACGCCACTGTCGCCCCCAATAGAGCCATTTTGCTCATCGAAAACAGTCCTTTCTGATGCAATGGATTTTAAAGCAACCAGAATCTGCTAATCTGGTGAAAATCAAATGCTAGCCTTAATTAAACACAATTTTCTTACTAAGTTACACTTTTCCTCAAACATCTGCTTTGTTATTTTTTTGTTATTTTGGAGCATGTTAATAAATCCAGCAACAACACGAATTTTGAGAACATTTCTATAAATATAAAACAAAAAAACATTCTAAATAGAGTGGACTTTTTCTCAAAAAGTATAGCATAGTAATATATAATATATAATAGTAATATATCTGTTATGGTTCTCCACTTTGGACTTCTTTTTGAGTATCTTTTTCAGTTTTAAGTTATTTATGTCATTCTGTTTTCTTGGTTATTGGTTTCTTTTCTGTTTTGTGTCATGGTAGTTGTTTTCTAATAATATTTTATCAGTGTTGTGTTGTCTGTGTTGCTGTCTGTTGCCTTCTTGTGATAGTCTCTTTTCCCAGAGGGCCCTGTCACACCTTAACAATTTAGACCAGCATATCTCCTAAAACGCTGCCAATACGCCATTATATCTTAGCTGTAATATAGAAACACGTTCATCGGTCGTCTGGAACACGTCAGATACGTTGATATAAGTTGGAGGTAAGTTCTTGATAAGTTACACGTATCTTATGCACACATTACTCATAGGTTTTGGATAAGCTAGACTCTGTCTTATGAGTAACTTACACTTAACGTGTGTCAACAATCTGATAATTTATCTGTAACTTATGCCCCACGTATGAGCATATGCTGGCATTAAAGCATGCTCAAAATTTCTCGAAATACTGGCCGTATGTCGACGTGTGTCAGCATGCTCATAACTTATGCAAAATGTACCAATAACTTATCCAACGTATGCCAGCATTTTTGCCAGATTTTTCATACGTCAAGCATAAACTGGTCTAAAACGTCAAAGTGTAACAAGGGCTCTATATTCTAGTTGCTTCTATGCACACCTGCTCCCTGTCAGCTGATTACCCCGCTCTTTGTTCGGTCTCCCATATATGCACCTCCTGTGCAGTTCTTTGCTGCTCCGATAACATACTCCTATAATATGAATTATAATGTTTAATAAAGCATTTTACAATTTTACTGAATTCAATTACCTCCAAAATACTTGACTTGATTCAACATACCCTATACTGGTTTGATGGACATTAACATTTTTTTTTTTTTTACAAATTTTGGTAAGACCTTTATATATCATGAAAAACATTAATCCTTAGCGGGTCATTTTCATATCCAAAACTATAAACTGTAAAAAGGGTGATATTCAGATTTCCTAGAAATTCTGACTTTTGTGAACCCAGTATCACCTGTTAGTATATTACCACACTCTTAGTTCAGACAGAGGTTTTACGTGCCAGTTATGTCACCAAAAGACTTGTTAATTCAGAAACATAAAAAAAAAAAAAAATTGTTTTACAGCTTTAATTGAAACTGGTATTTCATGCACTTTTAGGAAAAACAAAGGCTTCTTCCAGCCAATTAGCATTCTCTTCATCTCAATGAGAACCAGAATCAGATCCAGGACATCATAAACTACAGATAGCTTTAATGGATGTTTCCAAGTAAAATCCTTCAGCAGAACTTCATAAACAAGAGAAAAACAAAGCCCTCTGCGGCCCGCCTCCCTTTGAACGTAATGGCTGCACAGCAAGGCGTCCGGTTTTTGAAGTCACTGTCCCCAAGCACACACGGCATTTTACCCGCTAACACGCATGCATGAAGGCACACATGCATCGACCTTTACCCTGCCTCTTGACTTTGATCCCCTCATCCCTTTGTACGTCCTTAAAAGTTGTCAGAAAAGGCCCAGTGAATCGAGTGGCACAGATCAAAGGCCAGGCCTAATAGGCCAGGATGAGACGGGTTATTGTGTGTTTTACGACTGTGCGTATGTGTTTGTTTTCTGCTGGCTACGGCCAGAATTTTCCCTTTAATTAATCTGAATATGCAGATATCCATCCACCCAACCCTTTATTGTCTCATATTTTAATCTACCTCAAAAGCCTCGTGCCATTTTGCAATTCCAAACTGTATGCACTTTTCACATGGAATGCACACAAACACACTTCTCTTTTCTTTGAAATGTGGCCAAAAGGGTCAAGTGACAGGTTTTTAATCAGCGCTGACCCCCACATGCCATTGAGCTGATATGGTGGACCCTCCTTAACCCCAACTGTAACCTACCCCCCCTCCTTACAATCAGATACAGCCATTGACTGGGTAAAAAGTGTCACACACGAGTGGTCACGTTTCATCACAGTCTCACGAGCAACATGCAAGAAGCAGAAGAAGGAGAGCTTTTGTCTTCCCTGTTAAGTGCCTTAAGGTGACGTGCTGTGAATTGGTAACATATAAATAAACTGAACTGAATCTGCAACAACTTTATGTATGTATATATATAATGGTTTCAAACGTGTACATAAAAAAATGCAAGGAGCAAAAATAAAACTAGATAATAAAGAAATCTAAATTTTGTAATATAACCCTTTTTCAAACCAATTTTTATAACAGATTAAGTCTGTCATTAAATTAAAAAGCAAGTTGAAAAAACTCTTGAAGTAATGCTGCAGAGATGAATTTTACAACCTATAATTTATCCATAGTCAGTTATGAAATCTGAATAAATCGTATTTGTGTACAGTTATCATTTAATCTGTGTGGTTGAATGCAACTATGGGAATCTAACAGTTTGTAAATGCCAACATAAAATTATGGACCCTAAAAAAGTGGATATAAGGCATGAGTTGCTTTAAGAATGCATGTCGTTATATTAATCAGGGTATAGTGTTGTGACTGCGACGGCTAATTCAGATTTTTTGGAGCTGGTCTCTCTTAAGTAATTATCAGTACTACCTATTAAAGTTACACAGATCCGAAACTTTGAGCAAATATTTACTCCAATATTGACTAATTAGGATCTGATATTGAATAGATGATGCCGATCCAGCATTCTGAACCAATAATTTTTATTTCAATTGATATCATACGCAGAAATACATGTATAGTATTGGATTGGATCAAGAAATAAAACCAAACGGTGTCTCTATTATCAACCTTACCTGTAGTAGAAAGGTGTCATATATTACCTTAGGATCATTGTAGAGCTGACTTCAATTATTTTAAACTCAAAATCAAAAGGTTCTGAAAGTAAACCTTAAGGTTTTCCATCTGCAGTGCATCAGCTTCCAAGTGTAGTTGTTAAGTTTCTACCACTTCACAGGTGTTCTTTGTTTTTAAAAAGCTCATAGAGATGGAGATCTTATTAGTTTTCACTAAAAACATTTACAGAGAATCACTTCCAGAAAACCAGAAAAAGCTTTTAAGTAATACATCTGACATCCAACTAAAGGGATTTTTTTTTGCCCTCACTTTACCTAATTCCAGATCTTTCCCATTGTCCTACTTTTGAAATAAACTTTTTATTGTCAGTGTCATGATCGTGACTTTTTAAGCTGACCTAAATACTCATTTCACTCATTTGCCTAAGTTCGGTCGCCAATTATCACTCATCTCATCCACCTGCCCCTGCTGCTTTACATACGGCTCAGTCCCAGCTATCGGGGGCCAGATCACTGACTTTGTTTTGTGTTTGACTTTGAGTTCATAGCTCATGTTTTTGTTCATGTACCCGTTCTCGGAGGCCAGTGGTGAGAGAGGGTTTTTAGTGTTTTTTCGTGTGTTCCTGATCATGTCCTGTCTCTTATCCTCCGAGCGTGCCCTCTTCTTGTTTTGGCTCAGTAGAGGGAATTCATTTTAAAGTGCCGTAGTTTTCCTGATATCAAGCCTTGTTCTTCCTCTCAACTACTGAGTTTGCCTGTTCCCATCTGAATGTTCTGCCTGAAATCTCTGTGGACTCCTGAAACCCTGGATTTGTCTATTCCTGTTCTGATCGGAACCCCTGACCGCGCTACGGTCTCTGTTGTCTGAGCCTATCTATTCTGAACTGTTTCCCTGACCTGGCTCAGATTCATGCCCGTTCACTGGGGCTCCAGCAACTGGTGCTCCCGTCGCATTTTGTTGGCAATCCATTGGCTGGATCCTACTTCGTTTAAGGAACTGAACTGTTAAACAAGGTAAGAGACTCATATGAATAATCATCTTCAGTCAGATTATTATGGTCACTTACCTGTGTTTCTCCCTAACCAGCGTTGCCAGTGGTGGGAGGTACTCCACCTGCTACTGCTGCAGATCCACAGCTCTGCGTCTGATATATATTTTTAATATATGTTTGGAATCTTTCCACTGTCTGTCCCACCTTAAATGTTGGGTCCTACCTTGTGAGCTTATTACAGGTAGAATTTTTTCAGGGTTCTCACACTTTGGTATCCAATTCTAGAACTTTAAAAGATCTTTCCAGGAAAAATGTCTTCAAGGATCTAGTGTCGCTTCAAGACCCTCTGCTACCACTGTATTTGTCATCTGTAACTACATTTACATGGACATAAGTAATCAGAAACAACAGCTAATCGAACTAAAAATATGTCATGTAAACATGGCAGTTGGAATATTCTGATTGGATATGACAGGATCCAAAATTATAATCTGATTGAGAGGATTAATTTATGCCAACTGACAATCCTGCCGGTATGTATGTAGAAGCAGGATGGGGTTATTCAAAATGAGGCAGGCTGAGCAGAGTGCACAGGTGACCCCACATTATAGTGACGTATTACCGCTATTAGTGACCAGATTCTATGTCAGAATATTCTAACTGGCATGCTTACATGACACACTTGTATTCTGATTAGCCATTTAATTCAGTATCATGTTTTTTTGTTTTTTTTTTCAGTGCATCTAAACATAGCAAATAAAAGATTTTTGGACAATGAAATTGTATTAACTAACTGAACAATATAGAAGTTGTTGGATCAGATCATGATAACGAGGATATTTGTGTCTTTAGTAAAAACTAATACTTTTAATCATTTAAATTTATTGTTAATGATCACAAATTAGTTTTTTTGAATATCTACAGATGGAAAGTTTCATTCTTGAATCATGTTCAGGTACTCAGAAACTGAAGCAAAGTGCATAGGATTTACCTAACATTTGAATTAAAATTGGGTGATACCCTTTCCTTTAGCCCTGGCTGCTTTTACTATTCTGTGTACCAGTGTGTGGGTGGACTTGGAATTGTAGAGTAACAAAAAATGCTTCATTAAGCAATGCATATAAAAGTTGTAAAAGATTTTATTGATGCGGAAACAGGTGGATTGTCTAGACAGAAATAAAATGGATAAATGCAGTTATACTTGAATTAAGGCAACAGTCCTTATAAAGGAGCGATTTTCATGCTCCTTTGACAATAAGCTAAAATCGAATGAAAGAAAAAATCCTGACAATTGACTTTGTCTATTTTCAAAGGATTGAAACATTTCAGCAGGAAATCCCCTTCATTCAAACAACTCATTAAAGTGACTGCATCTCAGCAGCTGCGAGGAGGCAGGACCAGAATTTAAGTTACTCGAATAAACTTTGGATTTGAACTTAACTGAGACATCTATTTGAACTTGATTTACATTTTGCATTTTTATCTATCAAAGTGTAGCAATAAATATTTAATATAAAAAAAAAAATGTTTCTGTTGTCAAAAAGGGACTGGAGGCCGAATTAGAAGGTATTCCTTCTCTGTAAAAAAATGATGCATGAAAACATTGTGATGGATCTGAATTTAAGGCGATTAAAAAATAAAAAATGTATTTTTCCTTACAACTATAAATCAATTTGCTGATTAACAATCCAATTACGTCAATTCAAAATTAAAACATTGATCCACATCTTCATCTTTAGCATATGCCTTTATTTTGAAATTTACAAGAAAAGTGGCTAATAAAAACAGGTGATCTATTATCATTGTTATCATTTCTTTATATAGTTGGTAAAATGTAGTTTTTGATTTTAAATATTGAATATTTTTGTGAGCTGAAATGAATGTATATACATATTATGGCACTAAATGTTATAATTTGGAAACTTGTGAGATGAACTGAATGGAAATCTTATCCTGAGAGAATTTGCGATATCCGCAAACTTTGTATCCTCATCCAAAAGTATCCATATGTCATATGGTGATCAAGCTTTCAGGATCATTTCTATTTGGGGTAAACCTTATTTCAAAAATACTGACATGGTGAAGTGGGTTGTTTACTGTTTACTCTTGACAATAGATTCAAATCATTTTAGAACTACAGAGAAGAGGAAAAAGAATTGTCATGTTTAAAGACTGAACTGAAAATATATGATTTTCTAGATGCCTCTTTCCTTTTTCCTGTCGATGCAGATGTAACTAAGTCACCTATCTCAAATCTTTTTAGTTATTTTCTATATATTGTATTCTTATATAAACTCATATGTATGTATGAAGCAGAGATAGCAGAGGTAAGTTTTCCTAGAAAGTTGTTTTTGCATATAAACCATAAACAGACAAAAAGAGGCGTTCATTCTGAGAAAGGTAATAGATTCATACAATCTATTTCCAATCTACCTGGGAGTCAATAAAATCCCCAAAATGCCGTCTTTATGCTTTATTCAGATGTTCTACGTACCATCTTTGGTCTCCTTGTTATCATCATCATCCCGCAACTCATTCTCTGGGCCAGGCTTTGCCTCCAACATCTCTTCATCCTCCTCTTCTTCCTCTACTGAAAAAAAAAGAAGAAAAACAAGCGAGAGAGCACTCATGTTAATCAACAGCTGTTCCAATTTTCCTCGACCTCCCCCTGGGTGCCTCCACCCCCCTGCTTCTTAACAAAATAATCGTTCCCAGACATGCGCTGGTACACCTGACTAACATTCACTCTGAATGGGTTGCATCATACAAACAGAGAGAGGCTTGTACCTGAAGCTTGAATGTTGCTCCGTTTCATTTCTGTTTCATTTCGTCCAAGTTAAGCAACTTTGTCTCGGGGGGGGGGGGGATTTTAGAGCAAAACCTGCTTTTGAATGTTTCAGTGATCATCACAAGCGCACACAGTCCACAGGAAATGTAAGTCCTGAGCGCTTTCCTCTTCCACACTTCACCTTTGACCCCTTAGAATAGAGACCTTGTGATGTGTGTGTATGAGGGGATTCCCTCTGCATTTACTCTAATCAGGCTCTGCAATTATGTTTGACTCTCCAGGATTTATATGAAGTCTTTGCAGTGTGTGTGTGTTTCGGGTTCAACTATGAAGGGTTACTGTCAACACAGGCACCTGCTTGTCAGCTACTGCCCCCCCTCCACCCTCAGGGTCTGTGTAGGTAACCTTCGCCAACCTCTTCTCATTTTGACTCCACCCACCCTCTGAAAACAGATGCCGACAGTCAGCGGCGGGGGGGCTCTCCTCTCCAAAGACCTCTTAACACCCTGACATCGTGACCAGACACCTGTGGCTCGACGGCGTGCACACTAGACACACATACAATCTGTCATTCTCTGCCTCTGGAGCACTCGCAAGCGGGGGCCCTCGCCCGGGGTGCCAGGGGTGGCGAGGGGTTAACTGGCAGGGTCGAGCTGACAACAGTTGCTCAGTCCAATGGGAGGAAGTGACTACATCACACCCTTTAGAAATGCTGCGCACGGACGCGCGCACACACAGACAGGACAGAGTGTGTTTAACTCAGCTGGAGCACGGCCTAGGGCACTGTTAAAACCACTCGCTCAGAGGGTACCGGATGAACTGTCCATTTATCACCCGCGCTGGGATAAGCTTTTTATAAACTCCAAGCTCCGACGGGTTCTATATAATATTCCTGTGAAATTCATGTTTGAAAAAAAATATAGAATTTTGACCCTTTTGCTTTCCTGCTTTAGACTTTTTTTAAGGATAAAAATGAAAATTTTTGAATAATTAAGGGTTGAAACTCAAACATCTTTCATAATTATATGAACAAAACAGTAGCTGGGTTATCCGTTTAATAAATTTATTAAATTAGTCTTTGCAGAACATCTATTCTCGTTCATTAGGTTTCTTTTTTACTTCTTCCACTAAAACAAATATGATATATGACTTTAATTTTCATTTTATGTGTGGATAATAAATGACTACAGCTAAATGAAATACATGGTGCTCAGCCTCCATCCAAGTTGGTGGTTAACAGCCAGTAGTCCTGATCCAAACACCAGTGACCCACCAGTGGGGAGTAGAGGCCAGAGAAACACAGACAGGCAGACTGCCAGACTAGCTTCATGTCTGAACGGCTCTAGCTGACCCGATTCTAACAGAGTACACAGCAATACTGCTATTTTCAGCTTCCTTTTTTTCACATATGCTCCATTTTAAAAAGCCTTATTTCTCTCTAGTGTGGAGGGTTTTTTTTCCACATCTGTCAATCATTTTCTCCTCAACAAACTGCGGTTATTAATCTGAAAAGCTTCAGGATGTGAAAAAGGGGAAAGCAGGAAGATACATTACACACAGCTACTATTCTTCTCTATTTTCTTGACCTTATGTGACTGGTCCGGTGGTTGGAATGTGTGGTGATGGGGATGGGAGGAGCATGAGGAGAGGAGGGAGACCACATTGAGGAGCGGTCAAGCTGTCAGTCCTTGGGACCACAGGAGTCTGGAGCAAAGGAGCGTGATTCATGGCCTATGGGTTACCTCACGGAGGGGAGAAGGTCCAATTCCTGTACGAAGATACTGCTGATGTCTCTGCCAATGGCCATGCATCAAGAACTTCTGTCACAGTCCCGCACCAAAATATCCCCACTATTTCCCCTCTGTGGGTGTTTTTTAGATTTTTTTTCTTTTCTTTTTTTTTTTATGCGAGTGTTAAAAACATAGAAGCAAGAAGTGAGTTTTGGCAAATGAGAGGATAAAGAAGAAGCAATAGATATAAAAATTTATGTATAGCGTTTAAGGAAACACACAGAGAGGATCCACATGGTTTCCTATTGCATCGTAAAAGGAGCCGTGAAAGGAAATTATGAGAGACAATCTCACAGTGTGAATGCCTCTGCCTGCTATTCCTTATGTATCAGCACACCTTCCTGTTTCCACCTTATTCCAGTCTCGAGACACTTTCCTCTTTCCACCTGCAGCTTAATACCTCTCCTCGCTGCAGGACGACCGCTTAACTGGTATCCTCCTACCTCAACGTGGACAGAGGGGGGCCCACCTTGATGAAACTCCACTTGGGGGCTCCTGTTTTTGTCCGGCTACACACCCAGGCTAATGATATCCTCGACGGCCCAAGCGTCTGCATCTGGCTGCTTCAATCTTCTCCCAGCTGCTTACTCATGCTGACTGGGCCCCAGTCAATTCAGAGCAGCCCAGCGGGTATGAAGATATACAGTATTACTACACATACACACATAGCGAAGTAAAAGTGTAAATACTCCTACACCTTCAAGTTGCTTGCTCTGGTGCAGCAGACCAATCTAAAATTATAACATTTTAGAATAAAAATATGTTCCTTAACGCAAGAAAAAAAAAAGTCTCACATGTCTCCCGAGGTGTTTAACCATCCCTGATTGCACCTCAGGTAACCTCACCACCAGCTAATGGTCTTAAGTCAGGGATTAAAAGCCTCCAGGACATACTGAGATCTGATTGCACCACGTTTTGAGCTGGTTGGGAATGCGTGAGGTCGCACTATTTTTGCAGGGTGAATGCTAATGTGTAAAGGCTACACATCCAGCTGACATGACGTCTGCTGCGGATAAAATAAGGGCCCCTTTACGAGTTCCACCAACTTGAATCAGTTGTTTTTGCTGTTGGCAGAATAATTTTTATAAAAATAAGCCACTTCTACATAACCTCCAAAATTATTTTCATCAGCAGTAAAAATTTATTCCATCTATAAATATGAGCAGATTCGGATGCTTTCTTGCAGTCATTTAATAAATGTAATTCATGAGGATCAACACACATCTGAATTAGGGTTTGTCTGCTTGGTTTTCCCATTTTGAAAAGAGACAAAGGGAAACAAGCTATAGTTCCATGCTATTTTAATATTCCGGAGAACTGAACACTCCATCTAAATAAGATGGGAAAACTAAATACTTAGACAAATGTACATGCTTGATTTAATGGTGGAGGCTGTGGTTTGAGCCAGAGTCAAAAAGGTTTGATCAGAAGTGTCATACTCTTTAGTTTTCGTTTTTGCTTTATGCTCTATGTTAATGGCCCTTTATTGTTATGTTACTGTTGTCAATTTTTACCCATTTGCAATCAATCGCCTTTTTCTGTTGCCAGTAATCACCTCCCCACCCTAAAACCTTCGTGATTCCTTCCTACTCTTGTCACTAACTACTTTTGCTCCCAATGACTGGTTGGAGTTTGGGCGTCTTTCTATGATGTATTGTTTTTTTGTTTTTTTTTGTTTGTACTAATTTCTGATTGAACTACTAAAACTTGTACATTTGTATCCATCTACCTTGCAAAAGCCTGTGTCTGTCTGTGTTCATAATCCATACAACATGGCATAATGTGGATAAAACATGAAGGGTAAGATATGGGTGAAGGGTAAGCCTGACAGTTCCAGTCATGTGAGCAATGGCGTAAATATCGGTAAGCAGAGACAACAGTTGCTTATGGGCTCGATAAGCATCTTCAATGGGTTTTTGGAACTTGGGATGTCTGTAACTTGTGGTGGTCACCAATGGTTCCATTCAAGGTGCGCAGTCCCTATTTTTTGGGGTGTGATGTGTGATCATATACTACTGAAAATTGCATAATTGTATAGTCTTGGTGGATTTATGGAACTGTCCCATATCCTAAACCTTTATCACGTGTTGTACTTCATATGGGGCCCAACCAGATAATGTTGCTTACGGGCCTGTTGTAGTGTCGTTACACCATTGCATGTGAGAGAACTCAAATTCTACCTGACAAACAGACCACAGTTTGTTAGCCTGAAGGGTCACCTGTCTAATCAAGTGGTCAGCAGCACAGTAGCACCATAGGGACGGTACTCTCACCATTCCTTATTACTATCTACACCTCTGACTTCCAGTACCAGATAGAGTCCTGTTACCTGCAGAAATACTCAAATGATCTGCAGTCAATGGGTGTATCAAAGATGGACAAGAAGCTGAGTGCAGAGAGCTGGTGAACTGCTTTTTTGAATGTTGCTGGTGAAGATTCTCAGTCATCCAGGTCATAGTCATTCCAAAAAGGTAAAAGAAAAATCAACTGAACTTTGTTTCAGAGTATGAAAAACATTTCACTTGAATTTGCATGTTTGGGCTTTGTTTTTGGTTGTCTCTATAAAGCTTCGAATTCAATGCTATTTCAGACATTTTGAATTGAAAAAGCTTCCTGGATAGGAAGTGAAACATCTTCCATTTGAAATGCTTTGTGGCATGGTGTGGAAACAATTATCTGATCCTAAATGTCAACAAAACAAGAGAGATGATTGTAGATTTCAGAAGAAACAGGAACAACTTGAGCGCTGTTAATATCGTGGGAGAAGAAGTAGCGTAGTGTCCGCTTTCCGGTACAGATCAGGCACAGATGCGTGATAAAGCAGAAAGGATTTTAAGCCATTTATTTTCTCAGGAAATACATTATTAACCTTTATATCATTATAGTTTAGTGTGTTTAATATTTTTGGGGAGGGAAAAACGTAATTGAGGTTATTTTACAAAATAAAATTGAGGGCAACCCAGCTGTATATCTGGTTGTGCATGCGCAAATGAGCTGATCGGGTAGTGACAC